TCAGCAGTCGTCCGATTACATGGAGATGTAAGGGGACGTAGGCCGCGCCATTTCACATGGAGATGTAAGGGGACGTAGGCCGCGCCATTTCACATGGAGATGTAAGGGGACGTAGGCCGCGCCATTTCACTTTGCTCCCCCTTTCTATCCTGTGACTTATTGGTTAAGATGCAGGGGAGACGCGGTATATTGGGTATATTGGGAAGAGCGGTCATGTCTCCAGCCTGACATCCGGATGATCGTGAGCTTAATGAATCCCGCATGTCCAGATCAGAAGGCACTTAAACCCATTTAGACACCCACTCGTCTCTTTTTTCCCCCCATTCAATGCATTTGGCCGTGGTATGGATATCAGGCTGTGGATTTTCAAGTGAAATGCACGACACAATGCAGTGTCTGGCTTACCCGCAGAGCTGGTTCTCAACTTTCCTCTGTTCCGAGTGATTTGATTATTTGATCAAAAAATAGTGGGTAGTTACTGTATACTGGAAATTGATTTTTGTATGGAGTCAAAATTTGGCCCGTTTTGGAAAACATGAACAATGGACCCTGCTGTTCTGTGAATATCTTGTTGGAATTCTCTCCGTTTGAAACTAAAATAATTAGTCCACTATTCTCCTTTTTTTCTGAAATGGGCAAATCTCTTGGTCACACACTCATATAATTATTCTGGCTCTAGTTGAAAAGGCGAACTCCACTTGTGTTGTATGGGTTCCAACCTGCGTGAGGCGCCATTTTCCTTTGTTTACTTTAGCGCAGCACGTCACGCACCTTATTGCTGTTATTAGGCAGAATAGATAATTATTCTGAATTTCCATTTGTATATTTTGAAATGTGGGCCTGGAGGTCTGTGTGTGGGATTTCATGTTCCTTGCATGTTTCTGTGAGTTTCCTCTGTGGACTCTTACTTCCTCCTACAGGCCAGCGCAGTGCAGGTGACCCTAAGTAGACCTGTGTGTATGAGCGTGTGAATATGTCTGTGTGCTGTCTAATGCCTGGTGTCTAATCCAGATTTTATCATTTATGCCATAGATCACTTGGTATTAAGACCGAAGTTCACTAGCATAATGGCATAATGCATTCGGTGTTGTCCAGAGCCCAGTAAAGATCGGCTGTGTTGACAGTGCAGTCAGATGCTTTGCATGCCAGTTAAGTGTGTGAAAGAGCATTTCACAAGCAACTGAGAACTGAAGTCTTTAAACCATAGTGGGTTGGATTATCTGGTGAAACGTCCTTCCTGTTGGTTACTTTGATTGGTTGCAATTTTTTATTGACACTGGGTTAAACCAATCAGAGACAATGAAAATCCCACCTGCCACTATACTGCATTGTTGAAAGGGTCCTAACGTATTGGCGATACTTCCAATTCTGATTTTTTTGGACGTGACAGGATTAATTTTATATTGGAAAATCTGTTAATATTAAATAAAGATATAACATCTCATACATGCTGTGAAAAGATTAGACATAACAGAGATTAATCATGTATTTTTACCTCAGTGACTATGACATTAATCCTTATGACATTAGCCAATGGCAGGAGGTTACATTTTTCACATAATATGTATTATGCATTAGTTTCTCAAATAATAAATTGGTATCATCTTTTACATTGAGATAAAGCCATTTTAATGGGCAAAACTGACATGAACACATGTTGAACTTTTAAACTGGCCTGACTAAAGGATCCTGCTAAGAAAAAGGATATTTTTTTACTTGTATGTCATTCACTTATCCATTTCAAAGTAGAATTGTGAAACGTTTGTATCTTTGTAAAGCCCTTTCAGACTGAAAAAATGGTCTAAGACATTGTTCTTCAAATCCAATATCTATCTGAACACTTGAAATAAATCCAGGATGCAGTGAACCGTAATTCTGAAAACACTGACATATTACTAGTGTCAGTATCTATATAAAAATCAGGACAAAGAGAATTGTTCCACAGGTGGTACTGACCAAAGCTTGGCACACTTTACAGAGAAATATCTGTGCTTATCGTTCTGGTATGAAGCCTGGATTAAACTGTTGCTTTAGTTATGAACACCAGTAGTGAGTAAGGCACTAATCTGTTTCAGGAGACAAGTTTTGCTGGAAATGGCAGAGGGTCTGTTTCAGAGTAGTCATATAAACTGAACCACTGATCAGGAATCAGTGATTGATTGTTAGGGCTGATGGTGGCTGACTTATCCCAGGTTTGAAACCAGATATCCTTCCACTGTGAGTGTGGAATTGTTCTCACTGGATCTGGATTCAGAGCTGGTTTGCGAGCTGTGGTGCAGTGCTTGATGTTTGGTGTCAGTGTGTGCTGTCTTTGTCCTGCAATGTCCTGCGTGCTCCATGTCTTGCCCTGCTGCCATGGTGCCACTTTGTGCTGTGTGTTCCCAGGGTCTGCCTGGCCTTCCCTCACTGGCGGCTTTGCACAGCAATCAGATCCTGACCGTCAAGGTTTGTGGGCGCAGCTTAGCCACCCGGTCAGACCCATGTCCCGAGACCCCCGCCCTCTAGGGTGGGGTACACTCAGAGCTCATCAGTGACCAGCCTGTGACCCCCGGTGACCAAACAGTGCTCTAGACAGACCCTGTGCAGATAGAACTGTGACTAATTAATTGGTTTTGATCAGTCACCAACAGATGCAATGCTGACAGCTTCCACATCTGGCTTTCCTTCCTCTTTCCATGTACTCAAGGTCAACATGACCCACCAAGGCATGGAAGAGGAAAGGTAGCCTTTATGATCCAGTCATTTCTGGATGATTGGAAGCAGTGTCTTTAGCCTCCAACCATAGCATGGTTTGGCAGATTCTGTTCAGCCTTGTTTGCATGGAATAATTCCAGACTAGATCATCAATCAAACTGGTGAAAAGTTTTCAAATCACATCTTACCAGTTGACTAAGTTTTTTTTTACTATTTCTCTGATCTATAACAAGCTCAAAAGCCTGTAATTTTTTCTGAATGTACCATATTGGATAAAAAGAGCAAAAAAAACCCAACAAGAATGTATATCCGGTCACCGGTCACCTGGTCCATGTGAGATTCTAGCGTGTGCCGTCTCCTGGGTCTGACAGGGCACTAAGCTTTGTTGTGTTCACGACACAGTGCCTTTCTTGCTGAGAAATACGCCCTGGTGATGTCCAGGGATTTCCTCTCGAAGATGCACTCCTGATATGGGGGTGACCTCTTCATGGAAAACGTGTATTTCTCCATGCAAGAAGGGCGCTAAGCCTGTTTTCAATACACTCCTAACCTATTTTTTGCCTTTATTTTCACTTTTTTGGGACCTCCTTCGACTATCTCTTCTTCAACCTCTCTCATCTCTGACCTTCAACTTCTGACCTCACCTGCTCAGATGGTCTTCCCTAAGATCAATCATGGCTTTCTTTCCGCTGATCAGCAGCTCATAAAACGCCGGCTGATTAAGGTAGTGCTGACTCGCTCGTGGTCCCAGGTCTTCCTCTTGGACCCTCACTCCATCATCTTATCCTCTTCATTCATCGGTTTGCGTGACTAGTCACAAACACACCAGACATGCATAGTTGGTCTTCATTCCTTCCACAGTCGTGTAAAAAAAGAATCACTATAAATACTGCCAGGTTTATAGAGCACAGTTAGCACCCATTCGCACAATAGTGTAACTTGTGACCCAAGTCTTTAATGGCATCTTGAGTAGAGGGATAAAATATATAGGCCGCAATCTTAGGTTCTTTTATGAAGTCCCCGTTGTAGTCTTTTGTTTATAGTTTATTTTATATCACTTCTATAAAGCACTTGGTTCAGCTGTAGTCAGTTAACCATCAGATCAAAAGTTTGCCCCATTTTGGGAGCTAAAAAATACCAGAATTGTGGCTTATGAACTTGTGTATGTGTTTTAAAATGCAACTTTAAAGACTATTTATTGCGACTTCTCATGCATGTAATGCGTCGCCGTTATGGTTTTCTCAAAAAGACACATCAGTGGCATAGCCGCGAGTAAAATCAGATCAAACCCATATGTTCCTATAGGAAATACAGACAAACTCCTCCATCATTAATTAACATGAAAATATACCATACATACAAGCATGCAGACACACTGTGTTTGAAAATGCAAACCTTGCTCCATGTCTTTCATGGAAGAATTCTCTTCAGCCTTTTCCTCTTTGCTGTAGAGTAACATTAGCACATTCTTAGCTTTCATGCAAATGGAATTCTGTATGCAAATGTTTGTGCGATGATTAGGACTGTTTTAACAGCGTTCCCTGATTTAAAGTGAGCATCTCCCCCCTGTCCCACTGATCAGGGAGATCAGGGTCAAGCTGGCCCTCCTGGGCCTCCTGGCCCCCCAGGTCCACCTGGCCCCAGGGGACCCCCGGGGGACACCGGCAAAGATGGCCCCAGAGGAATACCAGGGCTTCCGGTGAGTATAAGGAGGGTGATTGGTATTTACTTATTTTTTGTGGAAAAGGAGACCCCCAGAACTTTGAAGCATGGAAGAATATACACCAAGGCCAGTAACGAAAATAAACTGAAGATCTATGAGCGATTGGTCCTCAAATGCAGTTTTTCTCAGACTTTGCTGCCTGATATGAATTTATGTTTTGCCTTTTGCTTTCCACAAACTCTTAACTCCTTCCATGTGTGCAGCACTGTCAGTGGCATGGTGCATTCATTTATGTGCATTTTGAACCGAAAAAAATAAAAAATAAAAGCCTGTCTTTTATTTGCTGTCATAAAATCTGATTGGCCCTCGGACAGGTTTCTGTTCCTCTTGGCATAAGTCACGGTGTAAAAATATGATGTGTTGTTTATATGTTTTCTTCCAACTGAGGTAATTATTGTTTTCAGCATTCCCGGGTGCGCGATCTTAAAACAGACAGAAGATTGTTATTAAATATGTTTCATTTTCCCAGCTGGATTTTGCCACTTCCTCCGTTTTTTCATTCACACGTGAAGGAATGCTTTCTGAATCACCCAGGGAGATACGTTCGATATTTACCTGTGCCAGAGCCTGCAGTGGCTGGCAGTGAAACAATACCTTTGCCCTTCCTTTTTTTGATAAATTTAGTGTAAAAAAAAAAAATTGCCACCGTCTGACACATTTAATATTTCCATTAAAATCTCTTCTACACCAAACAAGACACTGAATACCTGGTAACTAAATCCACAGATAGATTCTAAAACAGAATGACTGTCCGGACACCTGACACCCGGAGCCTCAAATGACACGGAGAAAGACTGAAACCTTGGAACACGGTAGTCGGGTTTCTGAACAGGAACTCTCAAATCCCACCAAATTCTCATAATAAAATCTTCAGCACCGAGAAGGGATCTGCTGAGTGGGTCTTGGAACTGCAGTTTGAATGATTTATGGCTAGAAAACAACAAATAGGGCTCTTGGTATGTTGTACCTTTTGCCCAAACATAGTGTTTTAGAAAGTGATGTAATGTTTGTTTTGCTTAGCAGACACTTAAGCTTTTAGTAAAAATTATGTACTTGTCTAAATATTATTGATATGTACCTATTTGTGCATGTAGTAAATGCATTTATTGGATTTCCTTACATGATTCTAAAACTTCATTAATTTACCACACTGATGAGGACTACACTACTCTACCACGATCTACACCTGCACGCTTGTCCAAAGATGTCCCCATAACGTACCTTTGTCTGTTGTCACAGGGTGACCTCGGAGCCTCGGGAGAAACGGGCCCAATGGTAAGTCTCTCTTGAAAATGGCAAAATGCGCATACTGTGTATATCTGCCTACTCGCTGTGCCCTGCCATGAAATGAGAAGGGGATTTCATTTGAATCCAGGCCTGAGAATATATGCCAAACAATACAGTAACCATTTTGGGTCCATCTTGTAAACATTCCCTAATGAGTTTTTTTTTTTGTTAGGGAAAAAAAACTTTTGAGGAAGTTTCTCGTGTTTTTTTTACTTTTTGAAATATAGGTATTATAATTAAGGATTCTAGTTATTTTTCCATTGACATCCAAAAACATAAATATGGTTTATTTTTGATAGCTATCTTGATAATTCCCTAAAATGTTAGCAGAAGTTATGGTTTGACTTGATTGCGATTGTGTTTATTGTAGGAAGGCTTTTTATGAGTGTGTAGAAAGTGTACGACATTTAGATTTATTTGTTCTTATAAAACCACAAATTTAGTAATAGGAACCTTCCAGCCTTTGAGCGTCGGTGACAGAGGAGTCGGTCCTGGCTGTAGTGGGAGCGCATGTGAGCACTCAGAATGGGACACTGTCACGTTTCTCTCTGTTTGCTCATATTGTTGTAATTGGCTATCCATTGAACTTTACTGCACGTGGAGAAAAACTAATCCCATTTCTTAATAGAAACTTGTGTTCAAACCCCCTGTCAGCAATTCAAAGTAATTTTCTGAAATGAATTATGTGACTCAGTCAGGGGAATCTGCAGTTGTTACTGAGAATAGCCATTTTTATCGTAAATGTTAAACCATTACCATAATTCAAAATCTCATTGTGGCTGCGTGGGTATATAAACACTGGGAGCTGAGCTAAAACATACAGCAGAAGTGGTTCACGAGGCACCGGAAAATGTTTATTTTCACACATGAAACCCATTAGAGGGGCAAACTGATCCAATTAGCAGCAACAGAATGCTGCTTTGGTGTGTAGCAAATTAAGCATCCTATAAACCCCTCCCGTCTTGTGGAAATGCGTGGGACACTCCGATGTTTACAGGCGTCAGATGCGTGAACGAGGGAGGAGGGACGGGACGCGTTGGGTGATGTGCGGATTTTGCGGGAAGGGCTGGGAATGGCACGATCCAGCTTGGAAATCCATCCATTAGGGTCACAGGGACAAGCTTAAAATTCTATTGTCCTAAAGCCACTGATTTATTTATATATCAGAATATAAATGTGCCTCAGTCCGGTCCGCTGCCAGCATTGACAAAGATGTCTCTCTTTTCCACTTCTGGTGGTGCTCCTGCAAAATGCTTCATCCAGATCGGTGCCATGGCACTAAAAATCTTTTCCAAACTTCCAAAGAAGTGTTCATGGTGACTACTTACAAAAAAATACTCTCTTGGATGGCTGTCTCAGAAACAGCTTTATAAGCCATATACATATGGTTTATTATGCAAATAACTTTCTCTCTTTTAAGAACTAGTGGATTATAACGTTATGTCTTTGTTAAGGTCAATTAAGGGGAGGGGATATGAGTGACAAACTGCACGATTTGTGTAGCTTATGTTCCACACAAGAGAATTGTTGATTGATTATGCATATTAAAAGGCCGACGCCCACTGAAGTAGCGGGATTGTAAATGTATTCATGAGGTAGAAATTACTTTTACAGCTCTTCTCCAGTTGCCATTGTGTAACTTGGTCGTGAATGCTTTGTTTCAAACCGTTCCTGGACTCCATTCTTAACTATTAAATAACCCCTAACATTTAAACAGTCCCATTGTTGTAGTCTTTCAATTAAAAAATTGGGGTTAATCTTAAAAACAATTTCGATGTTGTTGAGTAGGGTTATTCAAGTCATGGTCCTTAAGGTCTGATAACTGCTGACTTTCCAGCCTTCAGGTATGAAGCCTCTTTGCCCAATCAGAATCAGTAATTACTTGACTAACTACCTGGGAGAACTGAAAACACGGCCTGGATTTGGAATTTGAGGGCCAGATTTAACAGCCCCGTTGTAGAGGATACAGTCGCTTCTGACAATGTATCCTCTTACAGTAGATGCTGTGAAGTTATAATAGGATTGTTTTTTTTTTTCTTCCAGAACATAAATTAGATATCAGTTCATACATCAAAGTGCATTTCTGCTACAAGCTAATTGTTGCTCACTGCTCTTAAGACCATGGGCAGAGATGGACTGGCCATTGGGACTAGCAAGAAAATTCCAGGTGGGATGTTGTAAGCCAAAAATGTTCAAGGTGGCCCGCTCCCCCAAGGAGTGAAAAATATCCAATTGGGATATATTTTCCCAGGCTGTTCATTCTTCTCATTCCATCCCTGACCGTAACCCTCCAGTCACACCTAAAGACACAAATGATGCAACTAAATGTACTTAAAAAAATTAAAATCACTGCTGTGATCATGGGTCACATGACGTGGCTCCCTGCAACTGACTCTGTTTTGTCGACCGTGCCCCATTGCCCATATGGGCAAGAAAGATAACAGCCGAGTAACACACAACGGGGAATTCTGATAATCTCTGTCTGCAGGGGTTTACAGGGATGCCCCTGGGGCAGTGAACCATGCCTGGTGTAATTGCATTCTGGAGGGGAGGTACATGCCCTCGTCTGCGGGCCGCATTCCAGGGGCCCGTGCCCATTTAGCGCCGCATGGATTTTTGATCTCGTCACTATTGTTAAGGAAGAGCGCGCGAATTCCATGGCTCCATGAGCCTCCAAACATGTGGAGCTCGTTAGAACGGCGTTTTGGGCCCTCTGTCAAGCATCAAGGAGGCCCTCTTTGTAAGAGTTGTAGTCATCGTTTTGTCTTTGGTGGTATGGGACAGTAGTGGGTGTTTATGGAGGGGTGGTGTTAGCAGTCAGGGGTTTTTACCTTCTAGAGATTGCTGGCAGCACTGTGCACCTTTGCATCACGACTGGGGTGAGGGTGGTGGGGGCCAAGTTGGGGGATGGAATTATTAATGTTGAATGTTAAAGTCATGGAGGTTCTCACGGTGCCTGGCGCCGCCTCAGAGTGCCACTGTCGAGCCGCACAGTGGAGAGCAGAAGCCGGTGACTTTTTCCGCAGCCCCCTGCCAGCCTGCCCCCATGGTCAGGAAGGCGGTCACCTCGCACGGCCGACAGAGCCCACGCCCCAGCCTCCCGCTAATGTGCCGCTGGCTCATAAATGGGCTGAGGCGAAACACATTTTCTGTGCGTCTCTCATCACCTCCAAGCCAAACATGAAGTGGAGATATCCTGGCATACAGCTAGTGCCAAAAAGTAAATATGATTTTTTTCGCTTGAGATGTGTTCCATGGAAGATTAGTAATTCAAGAAGTAAACCCGTGTAGGACTGTGAAAAAAGCAGCCGTAAACATAAATAAAGATTTTTTTTTTTTTTTTGGAGCTCGTGCTCTTTAGAAATCATTTTGTTTGGAGAAACATGTTTTGCCCTCCAAAGCTTGTTTTAATGCATCATTTTGGCCGGGGCTTCTTGGAGCATTAAGGAGTTTGTACTACTCATTGGGGACCTCATTTCTGCTCCAGAACAATTTGAGGAGGCCCAGGTCCAAGTATTTGGCAAATGGCTGTTTTTCTTGACTTTGTACCACACGACATGTCCATTCTTCTCAGGATGCCAGGATATGCTAATTTACCGGGACCAGCCGTCAATGTCAGATAGCAAATGCACACTAACAGATTGGAAGTTTAAACCGTCTGCGGCCGCAGCCACGCAAATTTATGAACTAGATGATTTTCGGTAAGCATGGTTTAAGAAAATTATTAAATGCCAGCTGTTTTGTGCCTTGCAGTTTACCATTATGTTGTGTAATCAATATAAAAAACAGTAATCAAACAAAGGTCACACTTTTTATGAATGGGTTAAGAGGGGCTTTTATGGAATGTTATCATATAGCTGGCGGATAGAGAAAATATTAACCTTTCATCAAGACCTAATCTCTCACTCACCATATGCTGTTTAGTCCCCCTTCCATTGCTTTGAGGACTCGTAGATTCAGGGCAGAAGAAAAAAAAATAGCTCTGTGAAACAGTCATTTCTCACTGGAGGCCTGAAAGAAAAAAAATATATTTCATTGAACCAGGAAGCTGTAAAGAAACAGAGTTTTGGCCCGAAAGTCTGGTGTTAGTGATAAAGCTATTCGGTGATTCGAGTTCAGTGACAGAGCCGAATGAAAGTGCCACTGAAGTACGGCAAAAGACATTCATTTGCAAGCGAAGGAACTGCGAGCTCTGGGTTGTTTTGTCCCTGAACAGTGACTCCTTGCTGTCCCTTAGCACCTATACGATCACTGAAGTTATGCAAAGAATGTTTTTGCCTCCTCGGAAGCTTGAGAAAAGCTTATAGATATACCTCTGTTATCCAACTGCATGTGCGATTTTTTTATATATATACTCCAGCGCACAATGGCACCATTGAACGCGGGACGCCACGTGAATATACACCACGTCTGTTCACGCCTGTTTTATGTGCCATAATTCATCAGTACCGCCGAATACAAGGCACCAGATCAATTAGGAGGCCTTAGGCGGAGGTCGGTTCGAGGGGCCGGGGCCTGTCCAAGACGACTTGGGCCGGTTCTGTGGAGTTCCCTGGATGTCTCCCAGTTTGGAAACAGGTTTGACGTGCCAGATGGCTCGTCCCAGTGCCCGAGCCAGCCGCGCAGGATTCATGCCATACAATGGCCCCAGTGAGCGGGGTGCGGATGTGCCGTGGCTAGCGGCTCACGCTGGACGGCTGGGTATTCCCAGTCGGAAAAATGCCCCCTCTCCACCAATCATATTAGGGAGTACAGGCTGTTTTGTACAAGTTTTTTTTTTTGTTGTCACTCAAGCATTATATTTTACCATTTTACTGTTGTTTCGCTGCTTTATATATTTTTTTTATTATTATTAATATTTTTCCATGACTGGGCCTAGGCGTTCTTCCCAGGCCAGGGCCGGTTCCAGCTGGTTTCCCCGGCGGAGATTCCTGAGCCGTTCTGGCACACCTCAGAGCCACTCTTACCTCATGCCTGGGGTCTGGCGGCGGCGGGTCGATGTTTGCCGGCTTGTACGGTGGCCTGCCGGGCGGAGGCCTCTCACGTCTGCGGCGGCCAGGAGAGGATGCTAGGTGCTAGTGTTTGGAGTGCTGCGTGTTCAATGTGTTTTTCCCCTCCTCATACCGCACGACGGAAAGATTCCAAATCACAGTTCATCCATCCATGTACATTTAATATAAAAACGGTATATTTCACTCGAGACATGAAAGTGGACTTTAATAATCGTAAATCCTACCCTTGATCCTGAGCTTAGGCCCCTCCTGAACCAGGGAAAACTGAGCGTGAGCTAACGGCACACTTGTAACTTTGAGCACGATGGCTTTGCCCCGAAAGCTGACTGATACTTTCAACTTTCCAAGCGAAACAACAAAAGTCATGGTAACTCCTTCACTCCATTCGTCTTCTCTGGTTTGTACTCAACACGTGAAAGCCAGCCCTGCCCTGGATGATGCGTCTTTGCATGATGACCAGAAAACTTCCCCTGACCTGTTTTATTCCTTGTGTTTGCAGGGACCTGAGGGACCGCCGGGGCCCAAGGTAAGCTTAAATCAACCTTCCGATGAAATGTTATTTGTCACCTTTGATGAATGAGTCATATAATCTAAATAAACCACATGGACAGAAGCTACCTCTGTTTGTCTGCAGCAGTCTTGTCAACACAGGGACCTGGGTGTCTCCTGGTTTTTCCAACAGCCTATAAAGTCATCTATTAAATCAATTTAGACATTTCCTATAAGTTTGTTTTAAGACTGCAGCTGATTTTATATTTCAAATGATTTCAGTGTTGCTTTCTTTTTCTTTGGGGGGAGGGGGGGGGGGGGTGCGTAGTTGGAAACCTGATAATTAGTCATCAGTCAGACCACTGGAGACCCAGGAAGTCAGCCCAGCCACCTGGGGATACTGGGATTGAGCATGACACTGGTGACCCAGAGTAGGCCAATCAGACACATCCTCTCATATCTGCTGCTGGCTTACAGGACTAATTGCAGCATAGCGTGATTGTGTCAATTGCATTAATGACTCACAAAATGGGACCATCCAATTATCTTTCATTTGTTGTACCATTCAGTTGAGTTTAGGCCATACCTCTGTGCTTAAACGTTTCCGGATCTATGCAGGTGCTGTTCTGAAACACATCAGAGCAATTCAGTTTGGTGAAAAATGCTGCCTTTTCTGATAGCGCCAAGTCAGGGATAACACAGTAACAGTTACTGTAATATTCTGGGTATTCACTGAACTGTAATCTTCTCTAAACTGTATAATGTAAAATAATAATAATAATTAAAATCAAATTTCGTAAAACTGTTGGAAGCAACAGCTCAAATAGAGAGATAGCTCTAAAGAAGCTCTTTTATGTAAATTCTCCTACGGTTGACATTTACCCTGGTGCATGACCCTGCCACCGATGGAGTGCTTCACACACTGGCTGAGGTGCCCAGTGAAACTGAGGCGTCCGTATTTATTAAGCACATGGCCTATAAATACCTTAGACAGAAGCCAGGAAGGACCAATGAAAGTGTCACAATTGCAAATAGTACTCTGCTCAGTAGGATGCAGTAGTAAAATCGGTCTCTTTGGTCCCTCTGTACATATTGTATGCATATACAAAGGTATAGAGCAGTATTTCCCTATCTGGTCCTCGGAGACCCATAGCCGGTCCATGTTTTTGCTCCCTCTGAGCTCCCTGCCAAATAGGCCACGTTTTTGCAAAATGTGGACTGCCTGTGGGTCCCTGACGACCGGATTGGGAAACACTGGTATAAAAAGTACACGATTAGTGTACATAAATAACCAGTAACAAGATGTGTTGTAAGGTCCATATTGTTTTGCTAAAATGCAAAGTGAGACCCGTCTCAGCCTCATGTCAGTGGAAAGCACCAGCATCAGATATCTTACCATATGTTTATCTTCTTGTTTACAGGGCTCTTTTGGCTCTCCAGGAATTCCAGGTGCTGATGGACAGAAGGTAGGTCCATTGGGCAAAAGATATAAAAATACTGAGTAAAGAATTGCAAAAAAGCTGAAAGTATTTCTCCTGGCTAGCATACGATTTATAGACTCTTACGAGTAGTACTGCTGTTTCTTTCGGCCCCTGAGCCCCTAGCTCTGTTTCAAAGCATGCTTTCTGTCTTCTGCTCACACTGCATCGTGGGGCTTTCGGGGGGCCGGTGAGCGTGCCAATTCCTGCACCGCCCGGAGCTCCGGGGTTGCGTCATGCATTACCTGCGCCACACTGCGATCCATCTGGACTGATTAGGCCAATGCTGGGCGCCTTTCCTCTGGAACAGAGGGAGGAAAGGAGTCATTTCCTTGCTGAAGTTTCACGCTATTATCATTTTTATAGGAAAACACAAAGATATATCCTTTGGAACAATACGTGGAGAGGAAAATTGCATCTGCTTGAAGTTGCTAGATGTAACCATTGCCTGTGCTACAAATACAGCTCTGAAAAAAATTAAGAGACCATTTCATATTTTTCACAAATATGCATTTTTAAATCCTAGTTTAGTTCTGATTCTGCTGTCAGAAGGCTACACTGCAAGCCAGGCTACTTCCAGGCTCAAAGTTTCTAAGACAGCAGTACACAAGAACAAGGTGAAGCAGGAGACAAACCTGGAACGACCAAAAACCAGACAGGTAGAGGGCAGAAGGAACTTTCTAATGCCAGAGATCACCGTCAACTTTTCTGGCAATGCCTCATAAATGGGAGGATGACCTTAAGTGACCTTCAGAAAGAACGGGAAACATTAAGTGGTGTGAAGTGCACTGCTAGGACAGACCTAAAGACCCATAAAGCAAGGAAGAAGCCCTTCATCAGTGAGAAGCAGTGAAGAGCCAGACTGGAGTTGGCAAAAAAAAATGTATATTTACACAGGCGCATTCCCATAAATGGAGAAATTAGTGAAACTGAAAATTTTGCTGTGGTCTCTTAATTTTTTCCAGAGCTGTATATATATCAATGTTTGTGCTACAAATATTTAATTATATGTCTGGTAGGATATGGAGTGTGGATGACAGGTTTGTTCTGTGGTCAACTGAGGAAGCTAGCAGAATCGGACGCGCAAACCAGGAAATTATAGAATGGGTTCAAAGGGAGAATCATCTGTACTTTGTCAAAGGTAGTTTCTTTCTTTGATGAGCAGAGGATGATCCTGGAAAGGACAGAAAGAAACACATAAAGTAGAAAGAAAGACATAAAGTATACAAGTAGGTGGCCCACAGAAAAGGAACTCCCTATGTGGAAGAAAGCAGATTTAGGAGAGCTTAGCTGGAAGCCTTGAAATATAGCACTTACAGATGAATTACGAAGTGAATGGTCTGTTTATTATCTAGTTTGTTAGGTCTTGAGAAGAGACACACTCCTGTAAGACATGTTATTGCATTTTTGAAGTCTCTCCTCCTCTGATTAGAAGGAGATCCGGAATCAATCAAACAGCAATAGAGGCAGTAATAAACTTACTAGAAAATTTATTAGAAAAGAGAAAGCAGACATAGAAGTCTGAAGAGTAAAAAACGAAGACTTGAGGAAACAAAAGAAGAAGAGGAAAATTACAGGTGGAACAAACAACTAGTGTATAAGAGCGGGAAGACTCCCTCCCAATGGTGCACATTCAGCTTGGTTGTCTGTAGTGTCTGTGTTCCCATGGCCAAGACTAAAGGAACTTAAACTTGCCTGGTTCAAATTCTTGTTGTGTTTCTACGACAAGTAAAATATTTGTCTCATATTTGTAGATAGAAACATTTCAACATTTCAACAGTTTAACAGCAGCACTGTACAGATTTCCTCTTTGGTATAAAAAAAAAAACACAAAAAGTAAATTACTAGTCCACCCAAAGAATCATGTGATTTATTATTTGATTGTTGAAAATTCCAGTAAATAGAAAAAGGGCGTCTTCACATTTTTCCCGCAATCAATGTAAGCTACACCATTGTTTAAACAGAAAAAAAGTCATAAGAACAAAGTAAATGTTTTGTTAATAGAAAACAGAGACCACATTTAGTCAAGAGTCATGCTACTCTTGAAGACAATTGAATGCAAACTCCCCTGAATCTGTCATTGTGTTGGACCATGCCTGATGTTGGATGGTTGGATGGTTGGATGATGCCTTCCTCATCTACAAAAGTTCAGCTGTGATGTTTAGATTGTGTTCATGTGGAAACTCCGGAAAAAGTCATTCACAGAAAGTTTATGGAGAAACCAGCCAAAGAAATACGAGTCTGTTTCAAGATAAATACGAGATGACACGAGAAGCCCTGCCCCAGCTATTAAAGATTCTGTCTGTTTCTAAGTAATAAGTATTCAGCAGTCCGACAGCTTGTTCTGCCGCCTATGTTCTTAGTTTCTACCTTAGGTTTAGCCTTAAAATGTGCTAATATTTCACTAATCGGAATGACCCAGGAGCCCTGAATCCATGAACCTCAAGCCTTTGGATTCACAGATTCAGTGTTTAATTTAGAGAGCCCTCTTTATGTAGCTTATGACATCCAACTGTTTTCCAGTGCTTTGTCTGGGTCTATTTAAGTTTGTCTTTTTGGATAAAGGTTTGCATGCTCTGTTATAGGGAGAGACGGGCTTCCCTGGAATCGATGGGACCCCTGGTGTCAAGGTTTGTGCCACCTTGTCATGACTGGCCCCTGTCATTGCTTTCTATTGCCTTTCTTTGCCTTTACCATATCTGCTACCGTTTTCCATGGATTTTTTCATTATGTTGTCACATGTGACGAGTCAGTGAGGAAGGGTCGGCCATTGCCCCATCTCATCAGTTCTGCGGAATTCTCACTGAAGGACACGCCATGTCTATCGTTCCACTTGCCGCATTACACCTTTGCCGTTTGTTGCGTGGTTGAGAAAAGCTTGAGACGTGCTTGAGACCAATGACAGGTGCCAGATGGCACCAGCAGTGATGGGGATGTTTGGGAAGTCCGCTACCATCCACGTTCCATGTCATTTGATATCCAGGCATATGGGTGTCATCTCGCGGTGACATCATGGGACGTCCATTGACAGTTCTCTGTTGTCTGTGCTGGTCTGGTGTGTTTATGCTGGTCTGGGTTTTGGGTTTATTTAAATATAATTTGGGTTGAATCTCAGGGGCTATTGTTGGGCAGGGGGGAAGCCTCGAAACGTGACACCCTTGCTTTAATTTAACAGGAAGTGCAGATAGGATCTGCAGTCGTTCCTGGCCGTAGCAGGGTTAGTGGAATGGTGTTTAATGGTGTTTAACACTCCTTGCTTTTTTCTCAACAGGGTGAAATGGGAGAACAGGGTGAAAAGGTAACATTATCAGACGTTCATTGGCTTTATGGAAAATGATGTCACTTCAACCCCCCCCCCCCCAAGTCAGCAGTCAGAATGTTTAATGATATTTTTCTTCTCTCAGATGTGCATTCTGTTCAGTAACACTAGCAGACAGACTCATGACAGCCATAATATTTGACTTTGCTCTGTGGATCAAAGGGAAAAAAATACTTGATACTATATTTAGGAGATTTTATAATTTATTTCTTCTTGGTCTCTGCAAATCGTTCTGATACCAATACTGTACCGTCGCGACAGGTTTAAAGTCTCTGTTAACCTGCATTGCTTTTCAAGATGCACACCGACGTTGATTCAGAATGTTCTGGATTTTACGATTAAATTCAATACAGTATAATTCAGCTTATTTTCACGTAGCACCTTTCCCAACATAAATTACTTTAACAAAGGTTCAGTAGTAATAACAGTGTCATAGCTGGGAATAGCAGAAGTTAATATAGAGCTTTATTAAGAGTCTGAGCAGAGAAAAGCCAGGGCACAGCATGGAAGATGAATGAAAACATTCTGCGATGGTTAATAAAAGGAAAGAGCTGCTGATAGTCCAGGTCAACAGGCTGCCTGACGCCTTTCTAGTCAGAAATGAATTTCCTCCGGTCATCTGTGGTGTCCCTCTGCCTCTACTGAGGGCCCAGGTTCCAGACCTTGCAGCTCACACAAAATTGAAGTTCTCCACAGATTCAGGGACACCCGGGGGTGGGGGGAAGGAAGTAAACACAGAGTCAGTCAGTAGCGATACAGGGATGACATTACACTACCTGTCAGGATGTTCCGCAGACTGGGAACCCTGCAGCCAGCCGCCCTTTCATTCGTTCTAGGAATTAAGAGAAGACCTGCATCCTGCGGTCTGAGAGTGTACAGTATTTCATCTTATGCACATTAATCAACTCTGTGAGATAAGCGGGGGCCAAACCTTTCAAGAAGTCCATCCTGAGCCAGAAGCTAGTGGAAAGACAATGAACGGGCGTTGCATGATTATATATTTCTAGCTGTGGTTACAGTCCCTGCTGCTGCACTCTGAATTGGCTGCAGGACATAGAGTTTGAGGTTAAAGAAAGACAGTGCCGTAGTATAACATTTTATAAAGAATGTAGATATACATTTTTCCATATCTTGAACTGTAAGCAATCGCCTTAGTTTTGCAATATTTATGAACTTACAAGCATATTTTGGATATAGAGTTAAAAAATACTTATTATTGGCCTGGTTTGAGCTAAAAGTTCTGAGCTGATTCAGCACAACAAAACTTTAAGCCCTCAGAGTTAAGGAGGCCTTTTTTCAGTAATAGTAAAATTTATTATTATTTGGGTTTAGAAAGAGCTGATTGTCATTATCAGAGTTTTGGTCAGGCTGTTACACTGTTTAAATGGGGGGTTTGTATATTACCAGCAAATAAAGATTTTAGGCTTCTGCATGATCTACATTATGAGCATTTACGAAGTAGTGGGAGAATAGTATTGGCTCCATCCCTGTGGGACTCCATATTTGACTAATGACAATGACTTCCTATACTCCCCAGCTCCGCTTCCCACTCTGTCCCACCTCACTGATTGGTCGACAGTTTTTCGGATGAGCATATGTCGTAACCTTTTGGCCCAGATAGTCTTGTCTTGCTAAAGTCAGTTATGCTGAATCTTATAAGAGCCACAGCTCAGTGGAGACCTAGTTAGCTAAGATTAGAAGCTTGCTCAGCTGCCGAGCAAAAGGGCTACATTGTTCCCTTCTCAGATATTTGCATTGTTTGCTGTTTTTGGCTGGTAAAAAATGAGGGGGGAAATGCTTTGTGTTCTCGGGGTTTTGAGCAAGACAAATAGCATATTTTATGACTCATCACACTGGCATTATTCATAGAGGTCTTCATTAAACTGTCCTAATATTTCCGTTTACTCAACATGACATGGCATCAGTTCAGGAATGGGTCTGTAGGGGGTAGTATGGAGAGGGCTTAGTGATCCAAAATTGCATGCCTTTAAACTGCCTTATACTGGATACTAAGACAAAAATGCAACCAGACTTGGAAGTTATTCTGTGGTTATGGAACTGAAAAAATGAACAACTACTGGTACTAGTCTGCACTACTCATTGCCATTTTTCTCCACCACCAGGGCGACATGGGCGAAGACGGGCTGAAGGGTGAGGTGGGCGAGAAGGTAGGGCATCTTCATTCTTCGGCGTCTACTTTTTGCGTCATTGCTGTTGCATTTAGGAGCTCTGCAGCATCCTACATCTTATTCCTATCATGAAACATCCGGGAGAAGCTGGCCGCCCGTTCACAGCTGGCGCCCCTTAATCCAAACCTCATGATCCAGAACATGGAGCTATGGGTGTAAATTGGACCCACATGCAACGTGACGCTAAACTGCAGCCTTAGCCTGAGCTCTTTTCATGGGATTCACCGTGTTTCCTGCTTGGATGCGCCCTTTGCATCAAAGTACCAACATTTTCCCTGGACACAGCGTGCAGCAGGTACCCTTGGATGAGGATTTACCTGTTTTCTTTGTAAGGGATAGTCAAGGATGGGAGGGCTGTTGCAAAGCACAAACTTTAACCCTTCAGCCTGGCTTGAGGAGTCGGAACAGATGTTACATTTATTTTAGGGGTGATGAAGCCTTTCATTCAGTGGGCTTCAGTAGGGCCTGTGGTGTGAGTGTTTTCCTCAAAATATGTGATGTAGTCTGACACAATAAAGAACACAAGGTTGTCATAAAAGTTAAAAACATAGATATTAAATATAAGAGATGTAAAACATTGTGGCATATCCATAAAAATCTCACATGTCAAGTTTAGTATTTTACTGAAGTGTCTTTCAAACACCTTTTAAAATATGGGGCGAGACCGTTTTGATATGGGAAAGATGGACACCGCAGGCAAAAATGTGTGATCAATGTGTTTCCGACAATTTATCGCCGGCTGAAGCAGAGCTGCTTTGTAAATTTTCGTTTTCGGACATTTTCATTTTAAGCCAAAGACCAGCGTCTGTCGATGCGAGTCTGGGAGAACGTGAGAGAAAGGGAATGGCTCCATAAAGGTCTTCTGGGCTGAGACAGTTTCGATGTTTGCAACAGGAAAGCAAAGGGCCCAAAGTTGGTTCAGAGAGAGTTGGGGAAAAAAACCATCAGGAACTCCGAATGACTGGAAATAAATGCTCTGCAGCGAGTCAGCTACTTTGCCTTCCTGTGCACTTCCCAGAAAAATGTTCCCATTTACCAAATATCAAAAGCAGCAAAATAAAATCAAAGCATAGCTGTACAAGTGGCTGTAAAAATAGAACCCGATCGAGGAAGCAGTCAGTTATAATTATTTATTGCCGTGACATTAAAAAATCTGATCAAACTATTAAATGTGTTTCAGATAAGGAAAGCAATGTATATTTTTTTGGCCACGTAAAATAGCGAGCATATGTTGAGTGTAATTAAGTTTTAAATAAATAAGGACATAATTCACATGGTCTTTGTGTAGCCAAGCTGATTTAATAAGAATCAGATGTATAAGAGTGATTAATTATACAGTAGCTTGCAAAGCATGGAATATTTGTTCAACACACATGCACTTACACAAAACGGACCCCAGAAAACTATTGTACAATATGTGGAACTTCAAAGAACTTGACTTTAAATGACAGAGATCAGACTCAGATTATTTTAATTGCCTCGCAGTTTTTTGATACTATATGTAATGCTATACGTAGCAGTTTTGAAGAGGTACTGAATCAACCTCTCTGGCGCAATGCATTGTGGGTGCTGCAGCTGGAGTGCGCGACTCTCGTCCACCGGGCTTCACGAGGCACCTGTAGCTTTGCCACATGGCCGGTCAGATGCCACCCTGCTTTCCAGCAGGCCGCATTTTTGGCCAGCGCCCATGGGGGTGATGGCAGACGTGTATCATGAGTCTGAGGACGACCCGTATAAACAGAGCAGGCGTAAGCAGGGACAGGGTTTGTTTGAAGTCAGAGTGAAATATTTTGGCAAGGGCACCCGAAATGCGAAAAAGCTGCGGTGACAAAAACCAGTCACTTGTCTTCACGGAGGTGTTAATTTTGCTGCCAGACCTGTCAGAACCTCGGCACTTTGGACTTTTGTATCGTGTGCTACCTGTCCATAGGCGATGGGCTGAGATGAAGTCATAACATCTTCCGCTTTTATGTGAAAAACATAAACAATGAATGTCGCTCCCGGAAAGAGTGCCATATCTAAAATACAGCCATTTCAAATACGACAGGAGTGGAGGAAAACATATATTATACCATGTTAAAAAATTTAAAAGCAGATTTTACTTTGGGGAAATGAAAAAACCCGCTCAAGGATTCGAGGGCCTCCACATGTCTGTCGCTTAATGCCGCAGATTTCGGTTTCAGTCCCACAAGCCAGCCTCTCTGCGTGGCGCAGTGAGTTTAAATCAATTAGTTGCGTGTGTGATGTGTAAATGTTTAACGAGGTGTGAACTTATGAGCTCAGGTCCCATTGTGTAGAATTTCTGCACAAAAGCAGAGAAATATCACCGAGGGCTAAATTCCCACAGTCCTGATCTGCTCCTGGGTAGTTTATGTGGACTCAAAAGTTTTGACTGAACCACAGGTCACTTTTGATGCCTCCCAGTCCCTGGATGGAAAGTTTCTGAGCTGTCTGGAAACATTCCCTGTGCTGGCTGTCTCTGCGAGTGCCAGAGCATCGCGGTATCCTTGGATCTTGGAACAAAACTCACTCAAAGGTTGGAGCCAAGTTCCAAAAGCACAGGATCATGCAGCTCTTCAGAAGACCAGGTCCTGCTCTGTCACCCAGTCGCCCCAACGCGAGTCGTCTCTCACGCCCTCCAGCAAAGCGTCTGCATGCTCTGCTAATCTGCCCCTAATCCGCCACCGAGTGCCACTTTTCTTCTCTGCTCCCTTGATGGTCGCTGCAGTGACAGCCCCTCCCCTGTAATGGGCGCCGCTGCGGCCGGCTGTGTCGGGTGGGGGTGCGGCTCCTTTTCACCAGGTGGCTGGCATCCACCTTCCTCCATCTTTCAATGAGGTTTCATTCGGCACCACAAACGTATTTAAAAAACTGTCTGCGTGCCATTCGGTGCCCCGCCCACCCAGTTGGGTCTGAACTTGGCGGCCATGCAAGTACTCGTTTTACCAACTTTAATCTCTTGGCAGCACGTCAGCGTGACATTCGCTGGCAGCTTACCACCGTCGGCCATCAAACAGGATCGCATTGCCATCCGAAGTGGATTGAATCTGCGCGGTATAATTTCATCCTGCCCAGTGATCTCCAAGGAAGGACGTGGCGATATCGTCCATGATTTTCTTAATGCCTTGAAAGCAGCTCAACAGTTTGCCCCCCTCCACTCAGGTTTTACACACTGCCAGCTTTTATTTGTCCTCTCCTTCGCTACAATCTCCAGTTTTTCATTTTCTGTTATCTGATAAATAACTTCATCCATAGCACAGACATTATTACACGCTGAGGTGCATTCTGGGAGCTGCGTTCAGCACCTCCGTGCACTCTGTCTCTGTCTGTGCTGCGCGTACCGGCAAAACTGGGCCCAGATGTGAGCCGACATTAAACAAATGCCGTAAGTGCCAGATTTTAACAGGTGCGCAGAAGCGTTCCCTTTGATTTTTTTTAAGTGCCAAGTGTAATTCTATAAAAAAATAAAAAATGGCAGAAGTCCAAAAATAGGTTCCCAGCATCTTGTATCTCACCACAACACATTTCTGGGATTGATTAAGGTAACTGCTCCAAGTCATCTAGACGGGATGCTTTGTTAAACTTATTCTACGATATTTTTCAAAGCAGTCACTTCAGGAACCATTTCATGCCTCATATCTGGAGATCAATTTTATAACGCTGGGGGTAATTCCTGAATCACGGACACGCACATTAAGAAATAACCGCTCCAATCTTTGCGACCTGCCAGCTCCTCTATATGTCATTGTCCCAACACCTGAAGATGAAGAATTGCACCAAGGGCCAGTTTTTTTCTGACTCTAAGCCCTTTTTCAGCCAGCCGCATCATGTTGGCGCGAGTGCTGATGAACTGCGCAACGGCAGAGCGTTAAGTTGCGAAAACATCCATATTAAAGATGTAAACAATGGACGACGGAGGGCGGTACGCAGCTGGGATCATTAATGGAGTTTATGGGCGCCTTAAAGAACACAGGCCAATTAAACGTTCCTTCTGGCGCATGTGTTGTAATGGCTTCTCGTAAAAGCGAGAGTGGACTTTCCTCCATTGGCGTGTTAAGCAGGGGGCTGCACTGATGGGGGACAGCAAGGACGGGGGCAGACCTGATAAGACGATCACCAAACTTATTTTCAGTTATGAGGTATCAGCATTAACGAGCAAGCTCATTTCATCTCATTGCACTACAGAGCACATTCAGTGAATTCTTTTATTGATTTGCCTTGTCTGTGTTCTGTCTGGGTCAACCATATTCACATTGCATAATTATAGACTTCTCCTGGAAGAGCTTTCACACCTTGGCATATTGCATTTTGGCTAGTTCCACTCAAACAAAGCTGAAATCTGATGGCAAGGTTTCTGAATGTGTGGGTCAGGCAGCTGGCTGAGCTCCACAAGCCAGGTGGTCCAGCGAGAGAAAGGAGTACTGTGGCTGTTTTATCTAAACAAGCATCTCAACAGCCTAAAGGCATATTGCGGGTATTAATAGTGGTTACGATAGTTTGGAGGCTGGGTGCCCGTCAAGCACTTTCCCAGGGCACAGTCCTACCGGCTCGCTTTTTTCATCTTGCTCTCCGTTCCGCAAGGACGCAGCAGGGATTCTGACTCACAGGAACCCTAAAGAACCCCGAGCTGCAGCCCGACCTTGGACACGGTCAGAGAAGGGCAGCTGTGGTCCCGTAATTCCTTGCCATTGGGATTTAACCCTTCACCACATAGTACTCGACCAGTCCCCCTCCAGGTGAACACAGCGGGCCGTGTCCCATCGGTTCAGCACGCTGTATTTGTTTACCCATGAGCTGTTAATGTCTCATCTGTTAGCTTCCTCTTCCGGCCGCAGAGTGTGTAGCCAAAGCTTCCCCTGGGCCCCATGGCTGTCCAGCCAGCCTTTCAGGGTGAATCACAGATTCCTGTCCTCCTCCTCCATCTTGGCTGTGGGCTCATTGCCTGGCAGTAAGGACGTATCCCAGCCTCCGGTCCTTAGATTGATAAGGCAATTTTCAGCAGAGCCTTGCAATGTATTTCCCTCATCAGACTCAATCACGTCGCAATTCTCTAATCCCTCAAAACAGAAGCATTGAAGAGGCAACGATGGTCCCCTCCATCAGGGCTTCCCCAGCTACCGCTCTCACGGTCTCCTTGTCTTTTATCTGTTCCAGGGGGATGCAGGATCGTCTGCTGCTGGCATTAAGGTGGATACCACTCTCTTGGGCGAGGTGCCCCTTGCTCATCACCTTATGCCTTCTATCCAAATCCCCTCCCTCCCCAATGCACGCACGCACACACAAGCCGCACACATATCCACGCCATCACTACACCTGTCCTTGTTCTGATACCCTGTCTACCCTCTTATTTTCAGGGCGAACCTGGAGAGCCAGGCCGCGTGGGACTAAAGGTAAAAATACACCCCGCCACTAGAGGGCCCCCATCCGGACAGACAGAGGAACAGCCTTCCTGATCCACATCGAACAGCCTTGAGCCTTGGTGGAGGCTGAGCGTTGGGGGGTAGTGGCCTGTAGGGGGATTTGTCTGGAAACTCCTGCAGCACAACCCAACCCATTGTGGGGGGAGGGGGGGTACTTCCTTTTACCCTCTTTGTGTTCTTTCGAGCTGCTCTGATTGCCTCACATCCTTGCTTGCCCTTGAGCGTTGCCCTTCTCTGACAATCCCTCCTCATGCAGTGAGCCTGGCCATTAGCGGTGTGCCCCTTCGCATTTCTCTGGCTTATTACTATGCGTTTTCGGCCTGTTCTCAATGCTTCAGAAGCGGTTGAGGAACGTTGGTACCCTCGGAGGTGTCCTCTGTGACTCGTCATTCCGAGGCTGCCTCCCCCGCCCCACCGCCTCTCACAGAGCTGTTACCTTAGCGTTTGGTGATGGTGGCCGTGTTTCCACTCGCGAGGTTCCTCATTTAATTTTGCTGTTTATATCCGGGGGAGCCACGCTTCATTAATCTGTCCCCTCCTGCACATCGGCAGTGATTCTGGGCAGAGAGGAAGCTTTCTGGGCCGTAAAATCATCCCTCATCACAGCCAGACATGGATGGTGAATTTTGTGTTATTATACTGTAGTTCTTCTGCTCTGTTTTATAATACTCTGTCCCCTTTTCCCCCTCATCCTTGGCCATTTTATGAAGTATTGTTCTCCACAGAAACGCAAATTTCAAGTTTGGTTATTTTCAGCTGTGGTTTAAAGGCACTTTTTCAATTTATGAGGTGATCTTAATTGACAGTGCTTTCAAGTACTGTATGAAGAGAGCTTCCAAGGCATACTGAGTAAGAATGGGATTATTTAGTCAAACTGCTTCTGGAATCCTCTTCAGATGATATTTTTAGTTTGGTTCATTGCTTCCATGTTGCTTCAAAAATTAGTTTTTTTTTCCTTTGTTGTTTTTTTTCCTCCTCCCAAATAAGAATTGCATCGATAGCCCTGTATGCCCAGAGCCTCAATACGCCACGCTCACTTCCCTTTCCTGCTCAGTTTTATAGTTTTCTTGTTCATTAAACAAAAAAATCACTTTTTCACATGATTTCACAGCCCGTCTAGTGCCTCCGGTTCAATATTCAAACAGTCATTTTTTTGGCTGTGTTTTAGAAGTCTGCGCTTCTGTCGAAGTTGCAGCTGCTGCTGGAATTGTTTTTGTGTATTAAATGCTTTGGTGGCTCATGCCACAAGCCTCCGTTCTGAATGCTGTGAAAGGACAGGGTGTACTTCGTAATGAGAGCTCGCACAGGGAGTGCCTTTCTTTGAGAAGTAGAGGTGTTCCCTCCTGCCAGTCGTCTGGCTTCTTTTAAAAACAATTGTTTCAGCCAATCGTTGCCATCACATCCTGCTTTGAAGTCAAATCCGTGTTTATGGTAAATCCCTAAATCTTAACTCGGGCAGCAGCTATGAAAATAATTCAAGAAGCATTGTCTGTAATAGGTCCCGTGCGATTGCTAAAACAGTATTTTAGTGAACTTCTCTCCTGCATATTTGCCTCTGATGCGTTTATGTCAGGAGGAGAGTATGTAGAAGAACGTGGTCGAACCAACCATTAAGGCTTCAGCATGGAGTCTGTTGGCCTTGCCTGGGTCCTTTAGAACAAATGCGTCGGAGTCTGACTCCTCTGTAATATGTCGTGCTTTTCTTGTGTAGGGAGAACCAGGACTCCCAGGCCTGCCCGGACTTCCCGGGATCAAGGTAAATACCGTCGTGTTACCACCTCCCCTGCATCCTTGACCCAGCCAGCCCTTGACTTACGCATGTCATCCAGTAGGCGGAGTAGACTTGCCAGTTGACAAGCGGGGCAGTACATCAGTTAACCGCAACAGCCAGATCACTAGGCTGGGTAGTTGGCTGGGTAGTCTGTGAATGGATAGTGTTGGTTTAGTAGCCTATTTGGTCAGCTTTCAACAGTTGCCTGTAGATCGCTGGATGATTTTTTCAGCTAGCTGTGACAGATTGACGAGAGCATTGGTATAAGCAGATGTCCAAGCTCTCCGCTGTCAACCAGGTGTCATAGCTACCCGACCCTGTCCCTACAGTAAAGCCCTCATCTCTGTGATCATGTTGCTCGGTCTTGCTGGGTGCATTACAGACGCTCCGTATGATAGCTCGGAGGTAGCGCTTGCTCAGTGGGAATTATTTTTAAAGCTGCTGAACTTATGGTCTTTTCACACAGTCTTTGTCGTTGTGTCGTCCATGCATTCCTACATCTGTAGCTTGAGATTCATTCAATACGTGAAAGCAATAATATGTTTCTTATTATCCCAAGAAAGATACTGACCTCCTTAAGCTGCTTGAGATAGATTTTCAGAGGGTTTTGGAGTGAGTAACGTCCATGTCAGGTCTCTGAAGCCGGCATGGCTTTGGGCAGCGTCATGCTGCCCATGCTTGTTAACCTGAGGTGTGCACATGAAACCTGGTGAAGATCATATTGCAGGTCTATTTCCTGTGTAGACCAGGGAAGTTAACAGGATTTGCTGAGTAAACAAAACCTGGATAGGGAGCCGGTCATCCATCCTTTCCTCCATACGAACCTTAAACCGGGGATTAGTGTCTGCTCAAATGATCGAAGAAAAACAAGCGGTTTAACCTTTGTGAGCTGTTCACCTGGTCTCCTTCGTTTATTTGTTCCGTTTAACAGCCGTGAGATAATGCCTGTTGCTGTTTTGGTTTGTTTGCCTTCTGTTATGTGTGCTTGTAACCTGTTTGGCCTTGTAAAAAAACCTTTTTCCAATTTATAACCCTGGTTTTATGCAGAAGCAGAAAGCATTTGGACATTAAAGTGCTGAGCTCATGCGATATTCACATGTTACCCTACAGCTAAGGTCTGCAGTGAATTCCTTGCATCTTCTGTTTTCAAGCTTGCAGCAGCTTTACACTTCCCTTCCTTCTACCTGTTTCGCTCACAGACTCTCAGCTTCTCCACCATTCAGTATGAATCCATGCTAAAGCTTTGGTCATGTGGCACATCTCCATTATGAAAGTGCACTTGTTTTTCAAGCAGAGTACATTGGAATGATTTAGAAAACATAACACGCATGCATAGCATGCATATGAAATTGGTCCCCTGAAGACATTACTTAACCCTCCAGATTTTATCACAGACATCAAATGGCACTAGATTTAAAGTAGATCTGTATAGTAAGTATATCTATGTAGTCTGTGTAGTAAGTATATCTATGTAGTCTGTGTAGTAAGTATATTTGTGTAGTCTGTGTAGTAAATAAATCTGTGTAGTTGACCATAAAAGTACCACAACATGCTCCAAGATTAATGCTAATTTTGTGAAACCATTTAAATCATAAATCCTTTATTTGCCATTCACACAAGTACAGGTACATTGGGATGCTTCTCTTCACCTACCCCATCTTGCTCTCCATAGCTTCGGGGTCACAGCGCAGGGTCAGCCAGTGTACGGCGCCCCTGTAGCTGGGGGTTAAGGGTCTTGCTCAACGGTCCACGGACATGTGACTGTTCTGCCAAGGCCGAGGCACAAAGCAGCGCAGAGGATTAGCCTGCTGAGCCACTCGCCTTTAAAAAGATTTGTGAATATGTCCTGTCCAGTGAATGGGCATTTGACCACCTATGAAATCTTCAGGAGAAACCTAATGTATATCTGAACTGTAGCATTCTTCCCTTTTTTAAACATCTTTAGTTTGTCATAGACCACATAATTCAAATTTAATTTCCCACTATGTACCACTAGGTGGAACTAGAACGTAAAATGTAATTGGGGTAAGGTTTACTTTGTTGGGACACAGCGTGGAATGGCATTTTGATTAAGTTCTGTTCAACCAATGGTTTCAGGGTGAACCCGGATTCCTAGGACCTCAGGGAGAACCAGGTTTGCCAGGGCTGCCAGGAACTAAGGTGAGTTTTCTGTCACAGAGGCATAAATTAAGACCTGTGGCCTGCCAGCTGTCATAAATTCCTAGTTTCATACGTGAATACCAAAGAGGGAAAGGACAGGAAGTAACATGGAAGAACCTGCATTATTACTGTATAAGTGCCTACAATTATGCCCGTTAGTTTGAAAAACAAGTTTCCACAACTCTAAGGAAGCGCGTGTTGGGGAGGTTCCCTGTGATGTCACAGGGCCCTTGACCTTTGGGACTCATGAAAAGCAGCTGTCCACTCATCAGAGTTGGGTAATTCGGGTCCAGAGAGTAAAAGTCCAGACCGGGATTTTGTTTCACCCAACCAGTTGAGTACTCTGTGACTGTGACTCTTTATGCTCAACTGGTTGGTTGAAACAAAATCTTGGTCTGGACTTTTACTCTCTGGACCTGGATTACCCAACTCTGCCAGTCATGGAGGAAAATATGTGGCCAGGAAACAGAGCAACAGTTTTTCCCAGTTGCCGCGGCATCACTCGTGCCAGCCTTTGGCCAGCTGGGCTCCACACTAAGGATGGACACAAGCAGTGGCCATTCTTCTTGACTGTCGGGACTCTGTTTGGGATGGGCAGCAGATCCATGGCCGGATGTTTGTGGCTATTAGTGGGGTTACTGTCATTCTTAGGGCAACATTTTGCCATTCATGGCGTGAGCAACAGAGAGTGTAATCCCTAATCCGCTTTTTTATGTTAATTTGGGTTTATTATTCGGGGAAACGTTCAGAGACCAGGACCAGTAGCTTTCTCTCTCTGTTTGGATCAGACTCGATGCTGATCGAGAATGAAACAAGGTATAAGGCTGATCACTTTTGTATACATTATTAACAGAATGTGCTTAAGACAGTATTCAGTTTGACCGAACAGTAACTAAGGTTATCGAGCGATCTCACCTCCTAGCAGGGTACCCTTGTATATGCGGATGACCAGAACATTCTGAAGCCATGTCTGTCCTCAACAGGGTGACCGAGGGGAAGCAGGCCCACCAGGAAAAGGTGAACGGGGCGAAACTGGACCCAAGGGGCAGAAGGTCGGTGCTGCAGTAACTCTGGTCCACACTGATTTGTTAGAGAGCAGTAGCCTGTGCAATAACTTTCAAGAGAACATGGCTATGTGTTTCGAATGGGCTCCATATATCATCATCAAACAAAGTCATAACAATAAAAACAGGCAGGAATACTATTCCATAAATAACCTTAGACACTAAATTATCAGTGGCTACAGGCCATACAACATGCTTACATTTTTATCACAGTCGATCACTTTGATTATGTTGCCCTCTGGTGGCAACATAAAAATAAGCACTTTATTCATATAACTCTTTTTGCAAGGTGGAGATGTCAGCAAACAGCAATAATCTCTGGATGCAAGCAGGTTACTATTTAGGCTTATATATATATATATATAAGATATAAAGTTTGCATTATCCAGTGACATATGATAGATTTTTGGCCAAAAAGGGAAATATTAATAAAGTGTTATTTAATGAGCTGATGGGCTTGCACATGAAGCCAGGAGGGCAGGCATGTGATGTGGCGTGTGGTCACCAAAGATTTGGCACCATGTTCCTCCAGCACATGCTGCTTTTTTACAGGCAGAAGCAGTTATTACACACTCCTCGCTCTCATTGAGGGGGGCGATGAGAGACTCTCCCCTTTCACCAGTCTAGATGTCTCATGGTCTATCCTACTGATTTTAATCCTTCGTCTCCATTCCCCCTCTCATGTCTGCTGAAACAATCTTGAAGAATTGCTGCTTTTTAAGGTATATTAGTGTGGAGCCCATCATTCCACAGCCAATGAATTAAGTTGTGTTGAATTAAAATCACTCTTCCAAGATGAGTAATAAGTCAGCTTAGCATTATACCGTTTTCAGGATAACATAGTAGTTGAATAACTGGTTTTATATTGTGACAGGGGGCTGACAGTGACACTAAGCCTGCTTATGAAGGAGACCTATATAAGCGCACCAGTGTTTATGTAGCCGGTTGATTTTACAGGTGGTTTTTGCCCCAGTCTAAACAGGGCAAGGACCCACAGAGCCAGCGGCCTTTCCACATCCTATCAGAATACCCCAGGGAGCTTCTGCCCACCCATTAAGATGACAGACATATCGTTCGCTAAGGAGTTCAAATAAACAGATTTTCACTGCTTTCCAATCAGGATTGTGTGGGCCTTTGACATTGTTTTTGTAAAATAAAGGTCATGGTTTTGTTTTTCATTATACAAGAATAAACATTGACTTTAAAAATCTGAATATTGACAGACAAGATTGAATTAAATTTAATCTCTAATTTAAATTTAATACAACGTATTAAAAGATTGACAATGTCATAGCCTCACAGAGGAGTTACACTACTCGTTATCTACTACACTGCTAGTAGACCTGACTCTGTCTGTGTCTGGAACACAATGTGACATTTAATGGGTCATGGGCCTATTTAATTTGTTTTCCTCCTTTTCTCGTCTTTGTTGCTCTTTGTCGTGTGTCCGACTGTGCCCAGGGGGTGCAGGGAGAATCTGGGACTCCAGGTCACAAAGGGTCGAAGGTCAGTTCCTGATGCTTTGTTGTGAGGTTACCGGCAGTGTTTGAGAGCTAACCTTTTCAATCCTACTAATTTCAGCATGTGATCACTTTCACACAATGACTTTTGAGTACTTAAGTATAATTTGACAGTATGATGAAGATTCACAATGAATTGCATGTGAACTGCTGAGTAGTTGGGGAAGTACTCATTATTACAACAGTAAACATGCAAATGGTAAACCTGATGACCCAGACAGAAGACAGCACGTTCTGGAGGGATGTTGCCTCTGTGGTCACTATTTCATATGGACAGCACTTAATAATAAAAGCACCCATTATGGACAGCCCAAGGATTGCAAACCAAAGCTACACAATTCAATTGTAGCCCCTAAATGCATCATAGTTGCAGTGCTGAAAAGTTGTTTGATTTTTAGAAGAGATATGCATTTGATTTACTGTTGCCCTAGGAACATCTATCCAATAGTTAAAGGCCATGGATTATTTCAAATAATATTGTTGTTTTAAAATGTCCTCGAATTTCCCTTTCTCCTGACACTTTTGTACTCTGTTTGTGTCTACAGAGGAGTTATTTTTGGTGTGTTTCTAAACACAAAGAAATACCATTAATACTTGATTCTTTATATTTGTTCTGGAGGGTCTCCCTTGTGGAATTCATTGATCTCTTTACCAGGGTCAGTACAGGCCTCTCTGAAAATGCTGGTGGCTCTGGGGACTCTGTAGAAAACTGTCAGACTTGTTGCCTTGAGTGATCGGAAGCGGCAGGCCCTTCTCTGAACCACAGATGCTTGTGTGATACTTAACCACTCACATTTTTCCTGGTGGTGGAAACCGGTGGTGACATCTGTTCTTGTGTTTTAGGGGGACACTGGAGATAAAGGAGAGTTGGGCTCCATGGGACCACGGGTGAGTGGTTATAGCACTGCAGTGTAGATTTACTGGACTTAAACTCTAATCGGGGGCCGTGTCTGGAAACATCTCCCCAGTCTTTCCATATATTCCAGAACTTCCAGTTGAAACAGCCTTCTGAAATACATAGAAACATTACACTGTCACTGGCACGTCTTCACACAAATCATAACTATTGTGAAAATGAATCCCCTCTGTACTAAACATTAATTTGGTGGAGGCAGTCATTGCCAGATGTTTGCGGCTCATACTCATGACCTCCAGGGGGCAGTATCTGTCATTATCTGTATAGATTTCTGAAGTTCTTTTGATCTAATGTATAATATAGTGGAAATTACTATACCACACAAACCACACAATTAAGAAAAAATTCCTATGTAAATAACGGACATTGATCTTTCTTTTTTTGTTAGTGGATGGGCTGTTGTTCAGACTACATTAAAACTGTCAACTTACAGGGTCCACCTGGGCAGAAAGGTGACCAAGGAACCACGGAGATCATTGATTACAATGGAAACATCCAGGAAGCTTTGCAGGTCAGAATCCTGGGGCTTTGCATACTGTCTGACTCCTGCTTGTAAAGCACTGGTTATGAGGGTTGGTCCACCATGACTGTGGGTTTCTCAGGTTGGCAGGCTGACACCTAAAAGATTAACAGTTACCGTTTCTTCATAATATCGTATTACAACAGAATGATTGTATGGATTTTGTCAAAAGTGTACCTCCTCTATATACTAACGCCAGACAGACATGTATTTTTGTGAGTTTTACAAATGCCTGCACAAGTAATTGCCTGTTCTTTTGCGACTGTTTTTGTGTTTTGAGCAGTATAACTCCCCAAAGCCCAGAAAATTCAGATTAGATTTTATCCAAACATTCCTAATGTGAGGTATGGGCTTGTGAAGCAGAGTGAATGTGCAGTGCTTACATGCACTCAGACGTGTTGGATACATGTAACCAGTGATCTTATCTTTCACCCCTCGGGCTACCAACAGAAGATTACCACTATTACAGTAACGGTAATTCCACCCATTGTGTCCATTACACCAGCATGGAGCCCCCATCCTCCCTCTGTGTAACCCCGCTAGTGCAGTGCTGTCTTACGTTCTTTCATGTTGTCTCAGCATCCTCACCGTCAAGCCATACAGACCACGCGCCTTGTCCACTGGGTCCTTGTGTTTGTGTGTGGCTGTAAGACGTCACTAACGGCAGCCTTTGGGAAGCAGGGATTCGCTCTTGGATGAAGCTATGGACGTGTAGGAGTATGTGGAGGTCACAGAGCATGCTCTGATGGTGACCGAGAAACGCAGGGTTGCCCAACTGCGAGATGGCCCTCAAAGCCTGCTTGTTTGTTCTGCTTTTTGTAATTGTCCTTGCTGGTATATATTCCCATTAATGTTCCTCTCGTACTACTCCTCACATGTGAAACAATGATTAGTTTACCTTATTCTGTTTCTTTTGTGGTAATTATAGGGTCCGCCAGGGCCAGCTGGACCCTCAGGGCCGCCGGGGATCAAGGTAAAGACCCTGATTTTAATCCACATCACTTTATGAGTGTCAAGGTGTGAATAACCATAATGCATCTTCTGAGCTGTGGCATTCAGAAACTGCTTCTGTATCTGCATCAGGGGGAGCAAGGTCCAGCTGGACCTCCGGGTTTGGATGGGGAGCGGGTAGGTTGTCCGTGGTAACGAACCGTTTTCTCCGGGCCCTGTCTAGTGGTACAGGTCAGTCATTTGTAATGTAATTGTTCCTCCTCGTCCCCTTTTACTGGCATGCAGGGATTGAAAGGTTCCAAAGGGGACACAGGAATTTCCGGAGCGACTGGAGAGAAAGGGGCCCTTGGCCTGCCTGGCATGCCGGTAAGACAACCATATATGGGCAGTGGGGTCTGTGGGCAGTGGTGGCTTAATGGTTAGGGAAGCGCACTTGTAATTGAAAGATTGCTGGTTCGAATCCCCGACCAGCAAGGCACCACTGAGGTACCCTGAGCAAGGTTCCGCTCCCCGGGTGCTGAATTAGCTGCCCCCTGCTATGTCACGATGTCACATATGGGTTAAATGCAGAGGACACATTTCGTTGTTGTGCACTGTGTGCTGTGGTGTGTCAACAATGACCACTGATCACCAAATTCCAATTCTATAGCGTTATGTCAGTAAGGGTGACTTTCGATGGCGGATCCATTATATCACATCAGCCACCTGTACAGAGTGTTTAAGGATATCTGTCTTCTGATGATCTGCCCCATCTTTGCAGGGTGTTAATGGCTTGAAAGGAGAAAAGGGTGATCTTGGCCTGACAGGTCCACAAGGTCCCTCAGTGAGTATTCCAGCCCACCACAGAGGTGTAAGATCTGCATCTTCCCATTCATGCTGGACAACAACCCTAGACAGTACACATGGATTCAGGAGGTGCTGTGATAACTGAAGGGCAACAGTGGATAGGAAACTCATAAAGAGATGTCCTCCTGAATTGTTGCAATACCTGATAGTCAGCCTTTTCAAATCCTACTATGACTGTTTGTTCAGAATATGACAGGAATCCATCTAGCATGACAACTGCATTCGTGTCTCAAAACCATAGTGTTGCATGTTACAAAGCAATGCTTACCGGCATACTGGGCACCGATCAAGAGATAAAATCAATGTGTGTATTGCTGTGGTGGTAATACTTCTAACATAGTGTTTCTCAAAAATGTAGATCATAGGCCCTCCTGGACCCCCTGGCCCCCACGGCCCCCCAGGCCCCATGGTAAGTTGACCCTCCCGAGAAGTGATTTTCTCATGGTCACTTGCCCGCTTTCCTCTCTCACATGACCTGGTCTAATAAGGCTACCTTGTACCCCTATTAGATGTGTTTAGCTAATTGCAAAAACTAAATTTTTCAAATGTGATTGGCCAGTTTGGTCACATTAAATTCGGTATTGTAAAAATATTGTAAAAAAAAAAAACATGAAGTACATAAAATATAATAATGATTTTGCTGTTAATGAGAAAGCATCAGATTATAATGGTGTTGCTGCTAAAAATCTCAGATTGCGCTCCCAGATTGAGGCAGCTGTGTACCAGGTCTGCTCTCTGAGACTCAATCTTTATGTCCATAACAGTTGTGTTTTACTGAAGTGAGAGCTTGCTTGTGCTAGAATTCACAGCAAAGTTTTTGAAAAGTCATATTGTACAGCCCCAAATTGCTTCATTCTGATGTACTTTTAAAATAGATGTACTTTGAAAGGGTACACTACCCTTAATGGTACAGCACAAAACAAGCTGAATTTTTGTGTTTTTGAAACATAGTTATAAATAGCCTTTTCCTCCTCTAATTTTTCCAGAGGTTCCTTTTGCATTTCAATTATTAATGAAAGTGACCACACTTACTGAATTTTTCCATTTGAATATATTGTCTTTCCTCTGAGACATTTGTAAAAAGAGTTTGCAGTTTTTGGCATTCCACTAGCCAGCCTGACCTCATCCAGAGAAGATTCACTACTATATGCAGCATGTCATAATACTGATATTGTTCACTTTTGTAACTACAGCAACATTCCCACTCTTCCATTCTTGTGCTAAAACCAACTCGTACAAACAAATGCCTGTTGTCGTGAAAACACGCTTTGTTTTTCTACACTAATCACTTTTGAATGAAAGGAACATGTCGTACCTTTTAATGTTCATTTAGCAGCAAGAACCAGGCATTTCAAACTGATTGCTATTATGTTTCAGGGTCCCCATGGGTTTCCTGGAGCAAAGGTAATGTTAACCTTAAGAAAAAGTCCATAAATTAATAATGCATGGAAATGTCCATGTCTTTAAGTAATAAAATGCAACACAGTGTCCTAACCCTCTTATAATAGCTGCCCCATAACGAAATATTTGTGCATATAACATGCTGCAGTTCCTAGCTGTGTCCAAATTGACCACAGTACTGGGCTTCATTATTCCTTTTATTGAATTTGCATGATTGGTCTCATTTAGCGCTTCACGGCAATGATAAGAATCGCTTGGAGCTCGCAGCAGGTTTTTTGTGTCTCCTGGACTTTAACTGCCTGTGTAGTGCTACCCCAGCTCTCCCTGCCGCCTGGTCAAACTGTGCTGATCTCACGTTTAGGGAGAACCTGGTTTGCATGGTATGAAGGGGATGCGTGGGGAGCCAGGCCAAAAGGGTGACCGGGGATCCCTGGGCCTCCCTGTGAGTACAGCATTGCATCCTGGGTACTCTCCCCTCCCCACAGTCCTCAAATCCCATAATTCTCTGTTTTTGCATCCCTGAATCCCAACATGTTGGAGCTATACGTGGTGCTAGATACCAGATACCGTCTGGTCCCCTACAAGTCTGTTAAATGTCTTCCCCATGTTTGTTTTTGTCTTGGTTCTGTGGTGTTTTGTATACAAATTCCTATTAGTCCTACATTAAGCTTACAGTGGCTCAGCCGTTGGACTAAACTTGGTGCTTCTCAGGGTCAAATGATGGCACAAACTTTAGACTCAGATTCATGGAATAGCACAGTAGCTATTTAGATCAACCATGGCTACCTAGCTACAGCTAGGATTTCATTAAATATGTCCACCCTAGCGGGTCCTTAAAGAAGACTTCCGCCTCTTTAACCCTCCATCATAGGACTGTGTCTACAGTATATCCTATTCGCACCACCAGACTAATGTGCCCGTGAGTCATAATGTGCCCCCAGTCCAACCCGGTGTTCTTCTGTCCCTTCTTACTGCCAGCAGTACTGTCCGTCCCCCTGTGCTTGTCATGTACTAATCTCGTGTGCATCTCACTCATACCTCCATAACCACGCAGGGGGCGTCCGGCTTGGACGGCAAGCCTGGAGTCAGGGTGAGTCGCACGCATCCCAGCTGTACTGCCATTGGCCACATTCCCCATTATGATGACTGGGAGAGGGCGTGGCTTCATCGGGTCCATTCCCATTGTTATGGATAGACCGCTCTTGTGTCTTATCGAGCTGCCCCCTGATTTGCCCGACTCAGTCCCAAGATTCAGAAGCAAGCTGAGAATTTTGTGTGTTCTTGCCTACTTGTTAATCAACGATGTTTTAACAGTCGCATTAACAGTCACTCACATTAACAGTTTTTGTGTTTGTTTTTTTAATTTGCTCCTGGGGGCTCCTTAACTGCGTAAACGCATTCTCCATGTAGTAGGAATGTGAAATGTGCACAGCACCCCCTTGGTTTACTATGAGTGATAGGTGCTGCAGACTGAATTATAATGGGACGTAGGTGAAGTTTGGGAGCACTGACCAAGAATCTTATTTCTGCAGGGAATGGATGGGCCTGCTGGGCCCACAGGTCCAGCTGGGCCAAAGGGAGACCGGGTAAGTCCACTGGAGCTCATATGGTGCTTTTCCACTGCCACCCAGAACCGTGCCAGACCCGAGCCGTACCTCGAACTGACGATTTTCCATTGTGAAGTATGCGAGCCGTACAGCAAACTGATGGTTTTCCATTGTAAAATATGCGAGCCGTACAGCAAACTGATGGTTTTCCATTGTAAAATATGTGACCCGTACAGCAAACTAATGGTTTTCCATTGTAATGTATGTGACCCATACCGCAAACTGATGGCCCTGCCTGTCCTTCTCACACATACCTAATGTCTGCCCCAGGGTGAAAAAGGATCATCCGGTGAACCTGGGCCCAGAGGACCCTACGGATTACCTGTGAGTGCCAGCAAACATGGTTGCTTCTTACAAGCGAAAGGAAGCCTTTGTAAACATCAGCAAAATCACAGGCTGCCATTTATAGAGCTGATTTCAGTGGATGTTTGGTAAGTCAATGGGTATCTCCTTTGGCTCTTTTTAGGGTACTGCTGGTTCACCAGGACAGGACGTAAGTACACCCAGAAGCATGTAGACCTGGTGTGGCATGCCAGTTGTTCATTAGTGTTTGTTACACGTGACGTTGTGTGTGAGTGTTTGTTTCTTGTAGATCCTGCACATTACTTACAGTTGAACACCATCTATGTGCCATTCCCCTCTTATGCACGCAATCTTTAATTTTTCAATTCTTGTGAATTTCTGCCTTTTGTTTTAGGGGATTACATGCTACACAGGAATGAAAAAGGCTATGAAATAAGTTACGAAAGGGAGGGAAGGGGGTATGAAATATCAGTGCTTCAGGGTAGATATGTATGGAGAAGCATTTGCTATGGGTCCTTTAACATTTAGGGCCGGACAGGGACCATCATGCTCTGTCATGAACCTCGACTGAACACTTTACCTCATTTTCTCCTTCTGATCCCGCAACATTTGCGATAATCTCACCTCAACACGCATGAGGTCATTTATTCCAGTTTGTTTATGTATGTCTAGCTCTCCCCCCCCCACCCTGTTTCTCCTTCCTCATGTCATATAATTCCAGTCTCCTCACACTTTTAATGTCACCCCTGAGACCTGCCCAGCCCCCCCACCCCACCCCACCCCATCAAGTCAGAACTGTGCTGAACTGGAGTTGTATCTTGCAGGGGTTACCAGGCTTAATGGGCGAGAAGGGAGACACTGGGGAGAAAGGAGAAAAGGTGATCCTAACACACTAGTGCAGTAGAAGAGATTTATACTCACCCAATAACTGACAAACACTGGTGTCAATGGACAATGCGAGTCTGCCAATAGAGCTGATAGCTGACAGACACTTCAAGAATATCTTTTATATCTTTAACCCTATGAGATTGGCTGTTATTTCACTGTGATTTAAGAAAAAAAAAACGTTTCTCTGTGAGGGTTTAAGGCGTGTGCTTTTTCCATTGCTGCGCATGGCTGTGTGAATTTCAAATGTACCTTATGCTCTTCCCCCGTGGTGTGCACCTTCCTCTCTTTTCGGCATTCACAGCGTTGGTGGTCGAGATGTAGCCAGAGCTTTCGAAGCTTGTTAGTCTCTGTGCATTGACGGGTGCATGAAAATCCAGATACTCACTTCAGAATAACTGATGCCTGAAACCTGAACCTCGCACATAAAATACAAAAACATTTTTAAAGAACGTAAATACTTTAAAAAAATTTCTTTAAAGGAAACGTTTGGATCTCATAGGGTTAAAGACAATACACTAGATTGTGGAAGCGAAAATGGTTGCATAGCATTTAAATTTTATCTTAAAATTAATGAGATTTTAACCTGCCAATCTGTAGATTAGCACTGATGCTATAAGCTGTTAATTAGTATGTTTAAACCATCATCACTCAGATTCAGCATTTTATCATCTCATCAATCAAAATCCCATTCTGACATTTGTGGTTGGGCAGTGGTGGGAAAATGGTGATCTCAGAAAGACACTATCTTTGGGCAAAGGTCTAGTGGATTTAAGGGTAGTCCATTGACAACAGGCAGCTTTCTGCTTAATTTGTTTTCATGCATGTTTATCATTTTATTTAGTTTTGTCATTTGATTGAAGTGTGTTCGGCTATAAATCTGATTCTGTAAATACAATGTTTGTTGTTTGCACAAATATGTTCCAAATTGTATATCTGCATGCTTCTGTTGTGTTTAGGTATTTCATGTTCATCTGTAAGACAGCTGCTGGATTGCCAAAGTTATCATTTTTTCCATAAACCATCCTATACAGTTTTTATTCAAATGAACTGTTGTCTCCCGATACCACAGTAGTAAGGACACCCACTAACAAGGGAGACATTCAGTCTCCAGCTATTTAAATACATGTAATTACGACTTTCAAGGGGCTACGTCCTTGTAGAAAAGGTGGCCAGCAAACACTGTGGTTCTGGAGACAGAGACTGTAGAATCTCCCTCAGTGAGTGATCAGTGCTCTTTCACACACCAAGACTGCACCCCTTTTACACACGTTACACCAGCACTGAAACTGTGCTGGTGCGCATTTGCTTCCTTAAAGCAACTGAGCAGCTCATTGACTTTTAGAATCCTTTAAAAGCACTTTACCCATTTTTCGCTTTTTTGTTGTTTCACTTGTTGAATCAATGTTCAGTTATATCTTATTGTGCTTCTATCATTTTGTTTTTTATACTTAAAAATTTCGAATGCCTGTCACGCACGCCTGTGTTTACACACAGGATGCTTCTTGGCGTGTTCTGTGTGCGCCGCACATAGGGATGCAGTTTCCGGTGTGTCCTGTGTCCCAGAGGTGTTTTCCCTGCTGCCCTTTCTCACCCTTCCTGCCTTCTAAGACCCCCACCCCCCGGTGCACACTGGCTCTATCCCCCCCCCCCCTCACCTACAAGATCAGCCTTTCTCCTCTCCGGAGGATCGACCTGACGTGTCCGTCTGCCCCAATCTGGTGCTTCTTCCTTATCTAACTGTCCCTTTATTGTATCCCCCCTTCTCTCGCAAGGTAATACATTCCCTTTAACCTTGCATTATTCTGCCCCCCCCCCCCTTTAATATTCTACCCACACTATGGTGTCGTCTAATATCCTAATCCAGTGAGGGTGACCATTGCACAGCCCACAAATTTTGTTAGGCTTTGTAGGGTCCACTAACTTTTAACTTGGATTTGTTCAATAATTGTAAGTAATTGCAAATTCAAATGTAATTAATGCTAAGTCAGAAATTAATTGTTTTTTTTTTTTACTCAGCTTACTCTCTTTGGATTTTATATTGGAACCCCAAAGTAGTTCTGAACATCTCAGATGCAGAGTATTTATAATAATAATGCAGTCTAACCAGACAGGGCCTCAAGGAGCACATAGAGAAATATCTGTAATGACAATGATTGCATTAACGTTTATCTATTGAAGGAAGATTTTAAAGGCACAACAAACCACTTCATTATGAATAATTGCAGTCTGCACAGTCATTTACTTTAAATTTATTAGATTCTTTATATCATGTTGTACAGTACACCTCACAGACTTGCATAGCAATAATCAATACTAATAACCTCACAAATGGTCATACTCATTGGATCGGAGCATATGCCCATTTTCTCTGTTGGAAGAAGTTATTGTCCTGATCAAACCATTGTGTCCACAGGGGGAGAAGGGAAAGAAAGGCAAAAAAGGGCCTAAGGGGGAGAAAGGAGAACAGGGTGCCCCTGGATTAGATGCACCCTGCCCATTGGTATGTCCCAGCTAAGACCTGGAAGTCGCCTCTCGGTGAAGTAGGACAGCGGACTCTAAGGGAGTAGCAGCCTGTAGCTGAACCCGCACGTTATGGGCACCAGTAGATCTTATCTGGCATGGAACCTTCAGAAAAAGCAGCACACTGCAGTACTTTGTAGGGGCTGAAGGTGGTGTTCTCCAAAAGCGGTGCTGACGCCCAAGGTGCAGGCCAAACCCCAGGCTGCTTCTCCCTTCTTCTTTGCGAGCGACCCCCCGTCCGGTGGGGGCTGGCTGCCGGGTCGCGTCTCCCAGTAACACTCCCAGTTCATTTTTACGAACAGGGATTCCGGGGATTTAAGGGTGAAAAGGGAGAACCAGGGCAGCCTGGTCTGGATGGGCTGGATGCCCCTTGCCAGTTGGTACAGTATTCCCTTTCCTACCTAATCTGTGCATGTCTACCTTCTCCTATTGACCAGAGGCACGCAGGAGAAATGGCCGCATCAGCCTGAATCATCAATGCATGGCTTGTGCATGGAAACTGGAACCAATTCTGTTTCAGCATGACATCCATAGTGCACGTTCTCCAGCCAAAGACCAGATCGAACTGAGAGTAACGTTGTGCATCTTGTATGGACGCACTGCCCACTGAATGCTGTAACTGCGTTCCTCCCATTAACCAACTTTTTGAACTTATTAACTTACCAAGCAGCTAAAAATATTGAAAGTGTTGGTTGCTGAATGTAATACGAGTAGTATAGTGGCTGTTAGCCGTTTACTATTAATGTTAGCATTAACTCAATAACAATGGAAACGTTAAAAGTAAATCAAAAACCACCTCCCGCTGAAGGCCAAGGAAGCATTTCCCTAAAAATTCCCTTCTTTTTATTAACAAGCTCTAATCTTTGTTCCCAGAAGTATCCCATTGATACCTCGTCACCACAAGACCTGCATTACTAGCATTCCACTTTCTAGTTAACACTCTCTTCTGCCTGATATTTGTACCAGTTCTAAAAATTATTATGTAACAAAAGAAGCGACACGGTACAGTCTCTGATCTTCTGACTGATTTTTGGTATTGCGTGAGAACCAAGGAATTAAATTGCACGTGTTTAGGGTTTGTCGAGCCTGGTCATTTCGGCCAGTGTTTCCCAAACTGGTCCTTGGGGACCTCCAGACAGTCCATGTTTTTGCTCCCTCACACTTCCTAACCAGACTGTCTGGGAGGGAGCAAAAACGTGAACTGTCTGGGGGTCTCTGAGGACAAGGTTGGGAAGCACCAATTTAGGCAAAAGCACAAGTGTTTAAAGCTTTGAATGGCTTCATGTTAAGCCGCAGTGGGAACAGAGTTGAAAATGCATACTACTAATGCTAAATAAGTGCTATACATTTTTGCTTTTGAACATTTTTGAACATGTTTGAGGCATACTTGCAATATTTATTAATAGCACCCTTATAATGAAGATTAAGGACCAGTAATGAAAGCATCACCTCCTTTAGTCAGTAAGACAGTAGAACCTTGACTAATAAGTATCAGGCTCCCACTGACAGATTTCAGATATTTATAAGTATGAGCTTGTTGGGTTTAATATTTTTAAAGCTGGACGTTTCACTCTGCATGAATCATTCCAGTGTCATTTTGGGAGGGTGTGGTAAAAAGAAATGTTAGGTGAGTAGGGGGCTTCGTTTGTGTGGAAACACATCTGATTGTAATCCAACATTTTCATGTGAGGAAGCTCTTAAGCCTTGCAGATGAGGAATTGTGACTGCATGTTTCATCTTTTAAGAAAATTGACTCACCAAGGGGAACACAATACTTCAGCATTTATGTTATTATATTTCAAAAACTCTAAATTTACTAATTGGCTTTTTTTTGAGTACAAGAGTTGTAAATGGGTTATTTCTAAAATCATTAGTTTCAAGTAGCTATACTACAGTGAAAATTAATTGCTCACTAGATATTCAATCCTATTTTTACTTGTGGAATAGACGTATATTTGAATTGTCATTCTACTAAAGCACAGGATCACTTGGTTTTTAGACTGTTTTGTCTAATTTAACTGATTTCTGCTAGCAGTTTAAAGAAAGCTGGCAAACATGCAGATACACATTTGTCAGCAAACAGCGCTGGGAAGATTCTTAAAGGCACTTTAATTCTGTGCAAAGCAATGAGTCAGACCCTCCAAAGTATTTCTGTTGTACCTATTGTGTATCTGCTACAATAATGTGACATGACTGTGTTCCCTTGGGGAGTTTATAGCACTTTGTATGTTTCATTCTTGACATATACCTGCTGTGAGGAGATTCATATCTGTGGGCCTTCATCCATCAATACAAAGTAGAGTACAGAGTACACTTTCTCTCTTTGTGACTGCAGGGTCCGGACGGGCTCCCGATGCCGGGGTGCTGGCAGAAGGTATGTAAATTGCTTAACGGCATGCGATCGAAAAAGTGTAGAATGCAGAAGGCGGGTGAGCTCTGCAAGGTCTCGGCTTTTGAGAAGGATCATTGTCTGAGGTCAGCTCGGTTGCCGTAAAGCCAACTGTCGTCTCTTTCCCAGACGACGTATTGGATTTATTTTTTCCCGTCTCACTTTGATGTGGAACAAATCAGATGTTGTCATGTTCCATTATTAGACTGAGCTCTGTGCTGTGTAGGGAAATCGCATGCTCTGTTAGACAATCATAAAAGGGCCGCCATCAAGCATCCCGCGTAACCTGTTTACCTCATATCTGTCTCTCTCCTGTGCTTTCTTGCAGTGATGAAATCTAACCGAAACGCATGGAGTTTGTAAATAACGCCTCATTTTTTTTTTTTTTTTGTATTTATAGTTTTTTAAATTGAACATAAAGATTATATGAATATATAAAGAACGCTCATGAAGTTTACACGTAGCTGCTTCTACTCACCTGACGTAACAAGTGTTTGTCTTACATCGGCGTTTTGGAGTCGGGGTACTTGGGGCAACCGCCTGGGCCGTGCCAGTTACCATAGCTAGCATGAGCCAAGGGCAAGGACTAGACTGGATGTTAAGACCAAAACGGACTTACAGGGAGTCAGGAAGAGACGCTGGAGGGACTGGACTAACTACCACATGGGATAACAGACATTGTCATTTGTTCATCTCAAGCATTCATTTCAAGTTCTTCATCCCTCCATGCCACACTACCAGCTCAAAAGACTAAAACATTCATGCCAACAAAAATACAAAAAAAATGAGCATGAGTACTGTGCCAAACTAGGCGAATATATGTATGGATATACATATTGCTTTGTGGTGTGATCCTATTTATGGCTTTCGAAACACTAACTGGCTGACGGTTCATTCCAGCTTACTTAAAACAGAAGTACAAAGCTCTGAGTTTGTGATCTTTTTTTTTCCTTTTGTCATCTTCCAAAGGGAGTCACACCTTGGCTGGTGGCTTGAACAGATTTGATCACCAGGCAATAGAGACGGGTCATTCTTTTTCTTTATTGTGGCGATGCCCTCAAAGTTGGAGATGCACGCTCCCCCTGGGCCAGCTCTCGTGCCGTGCTGGGTTTGCCGAGGAGCCCATGTCCACTTACAACACGGTGTTGCAAACAGCACCAGTCATTGGCTTAGGAGGGAGATGTGGGCGTTTCACAGCCCTGTGTACAGCCTATCAGAGTGTGGACTAAGTTCAGCATCGACTTGGACCATCGCTCTTTGGGGAAAGATAGGTAAATGTACCCTCGATGCAGAATTCCTCAGTGAGGGAAAGAGGCGTGTCACAGGATGAAGTCCACAGTCATCTCTTCAGATACCAAATAGGCCTCTTCAATGAACTTTGGTCTTTGCTGAGATACCTGAGTTTGAATGTAGGGGGAAACATCAATACAATCTACTGAGATGATGTCAATGGAACTATTATTTTAAATGTCTTTTTTTGCCATTGTTATTGTTTGAATTTTTTTGTTGTTCATTCCCTTTGTTGGAAATACAAATATTTTAACATGCTTTGAGTAATAAGTACAGTCTGATTATTGAAGAATGATAATCTAGTTATGTACAATACTACAGTATTAAACCACAGTTGTATTTGGTGTTTTATGTTATGAACAATTATTATTTTTTGTTTGTTCATTTGACGTACTAAATGTTTTCAGCAGAGATAGTTCCCATATACGGTAATTTACATTGATCATGGAGACTGACAAGAAACATAGATTACAAACTTGTATGGATTTTTATCAAAAGTATAATTGGAAAAAAATATTTTTCGCTGAAATATAAAATAGTGTGTCGCAGTTAATGCCAAGAGCTCCGCATCTGAATTTTGTTAATCGCTACAATTAGGATTAATCCAGCCTTTGTTCATTTTGTCGCAGAGAATGTGCAGACTATCTTCAACGTTAGTGTGTAACTGTATAGAGACGTCACTTTTAAGGAATGAGGAAGATTTCTGAAAAGCTATTTTATTTCCACAGTATGAGTTTCAGTTTACTGCTTTGGAACACAAGGGAGAAGTTGACCTTGACCTTGCAGCAAGCCGAACATTATTTAGTTTTATTTTTTTGCTGTCCAAAATGCAATTCCTGGCTTTACACCTACAGTAAACAAGATTTCAACAGAAACTGTACAGTTTCAAAAAATTGGTCCTTTGAAGGCTAGTTTAAAGCAGCGGAAGAATGTATTGCATTAATCACAGTTCTTTTCATATGTGAGGAAGTTGTGTCTCAATAGCACAGTGTCAAAATGGTCCACCAGACCATTCTGAATTAGGGGATTTAATCAAAGTTTCAATGGTACATTTTAATGGTACAGTCTTTTTGGACAGCAACTGACAAGGGTCAGTCAGAGTGGGATGTTAATGGTAGATATTCCATACATTAATATTACTCCAGAGAGGACAAAATTAATCAATTTAATGAGTGGATTTTGACTCATACTGAAGCTAGTTTTGCATGGCAAATTTGTTACCTTACATTCCAGTGCAGGCTGTAGGTTGTTTATTTCAGTTAAGTATAATCATCTTACACCTTCAAAATTTTTTGTTTAATTTGACCATTTTAACTGTTTTAGCCATGTCAATCACCTGAAAGCAAACAGCCATACTGACACAATGGAAATAACAGCATGTAGTAATTGTTCTTAATGCCTGCACACCATTTTCGCATTAAAACTGAAGCATAAATGTACAAATAATGCTTAAAATAATGCTAAACTTTGATGTTCAGTAAATTTGATTACTTTGTATATGCTTTACCATGGTTCAATGACTGAATGACGCATTCTTTCGGCAATATCGTTTTCCTTTTCGATGTAAATGTTTTTTTTTTTAAGCCTGAAATGATTTTCTTCTTTGGTGTTAGTAATGGTGCTACCAGCTTCAGAAAGGCACTGAAGGAAATGTCCTAGGTATAACCATTAATCTATCAGGCAAAGGATATTGTGTGTGTGCGTGTTTACGATAATTTAGCGTATTGCATATACTTTTATATTTGTATTGTGACTTTAAATGGTACATTATTTATTTTTATACGTATTCATCATATTGGTTTTAATCAGGCATTCCTTGTGACATGGGGTATTCAAGGTCCTTATACCAGCACGTTTATTTCTGTTTCCTAATTTAATTTATCAGAGTCTATGGAAATGACCTCACATTTGGAAAGGACACACATGCATCCTAAACTGCTATTTTACTGTAATCGAATAATACAGTAATTCACCGTTCTCTTGTGGAGTAATCTGATTGTTGGTGAAGGACACATTAGAATGATGTGGTCAATATTCATTATGTATTGCATAACGTTATACAGAGCATTTTATGTCCAATATTGGTTTGACTTTTGTACCGTCAACATAATTAACTGTAGACGTTGAATATTATACATTGAATAAAAGGTATATTGCTGTGGAGGTTGCATCACATGACCAAGGTCATATGATTTATCAATTCAATGACAGTGAGAGTCTTCCAGCTCTAGGTTTGTCGTGGAAACTCAGCTGTATGGTTTCTGGGTGGGTTCTACATTTCCATTGTTATGAATTATGGGTACAGCTTTGGCATTTCATCAACAACTCTGCGTGGTACTCCTGTGTGAAAACAAAGACTGGTCCACCATTCAAAACCAGGCATTTTCCCATTACATACACACACATATATATAATGCCATGTATCTGCCCAATACACAATTATAGGCAAATTCCAGAGTTTCAAACTGTTTTTTTTTCTTGGAGCATTAATAAATCACCTGTAACTGTCTAGGATAATGATAAATCACCTACACAGACATTTTTTTGTTGAGACAGTGGTTCTTCTGTTGTGTACTGATTTCTCTTTTATTTCAATTTCATTCTTTGTCTTGGAATTGAATGTAGATTTTGAACTTGTCGAGGTACAGATATGTGACTCAGTATTCATTAATGTGAGGGAAGAAAAGACAAACATGGGAGTGTGTTGTACATATTTACCTGATTACATGAATACCATACATTCTCAACTGCAGCTGCATTTGTACATACAATTGTAATTACAGTTGTGTTACACTCACTGTATCATTGTTTGGTGAAAAGGTAATTGCATTTGGTTGTGAAGGTTAGCTCTTACAATTAAAGTCACCAGCCAATTTGTTTGCTTTCTGGGCCTTTGTAATTCTGGCTCCTCACAAAGATCCATCCTCAGCACAACCGAATTTAATTCTACGCCTTCCTTCACTGGAATTTCCCTGATGCATTTATTGAATTGTCTGCCAGTCTTTCTGAACTTCACACCAAGTAAGGTCCCTGACAACCTCGGGGTAATCTGCATGACAAAAATAGAGTTGTGTGTTGAATTTTATCACCGTTTGCCTACAATATGTTCCGCTGTTTCTATGTGAGTCCCCTGCCACCACCCCCCTTCCATTAACATTATATAACGTTTTGTTATAATTCACTACTGCAGCAGAATTTGAGCTGTCTGATTTTTTCTCCATTGGTGTTATTCCTCTTAATAGTATTTCCTTTGGCAGTAATCCAAAGCTCAGAATTTGTATTTAATGTTGTCGTTCCCAATGCTGTTCTCTGGCTGTGAACCTTGTGCATGCTGGTACATATCATCACACTGTAAAATGTCCATATCCAGAGATCTATGGTGAGTATTCAGACTTTTGAGTTCTCAGTTCATATAAAGTGCATTCAGAGCTGAGGATAATGATCTGTGAACTTAGTCTTGGCCACGTTGTTAGAGCTGAAGGCCACGCTGTGCAAACAAGGTGACACATGAATGTCATTTTTCTGTCCAACGTAACTCTTTAAAAGTTTTGTTTTAGGGTCTTGGGTAGAGCACTCAGTTTATTTTCCTTCTTTGTATTTGGTTTAATTTGTTATCAACATCCATCTTTTTCGTTTTCATTCTTAATGTTTGTATTTTTCGGTTTGCTGATGCTTCCAGATTTGGCAATTATTTCACATTATTTCAGAGGCATTTCATGAGGCTGTACTGTTGGAACCAAATAAATTCACTTTTACATCTTTCAAATGTATAACATTTATATGTTTTGTTTTTACCAACTTAAGACATTTGAAATTGCTGCCCAGCCACCATTGAGCTCCACATCTTCATAATAAGTATTTCAGCCGTTCTTCTCTGGAGGGATTAGTTGGAAACGGCAAATAGAGGTGATACATTTAACAAATGTGAATAACGACTTTTTTGGAAGTTCATTTTTCTGTCCTTAATTCCCAGTATAGACAGCAATCCTCTGCCAATCTTACACTGGAAAAGAACAGATGACTATGTAAATACACATCACTTGTGGGCCATGTGAGCAGAAAAATATAAAAAGAACATTATTTTACTTGCATTCATAAATAAAATAAAAAACCTACTTTAAGAAGTAAGATTATCATCCGTGTTTTAAGGACAGCCAATCATGCAAACTGTCAGAGCTGACATCACAGGGGTGAAACCTGGTGTTCTGCTTGGGATCCAGTAACCTGGTCAACAGTGAACCGCGTTTCCTGGGAAACGACTTAAGCAGGTCACATCATCACCCCCAAGGACACACATACATACACACAGCACAGCAGGAATGGCAGCTTATGTTAAAAATAACTCTCCCATAAAAATTATACAAGTAATGGGACACAGCTTTCGCGAGATGGCGTAATGAGGGATTCTGATCGAGTTGCACTCCCTCGCATTGTTTGTGGACATTAACATACAGTATATTTATCATGGGTTTAAGTTTAGTGGCAGCGTGGTTCTTCCAGGAGCAGGGTTTGAGTCTCTGTCCTGGCTCTATGTGTGTGAGGTTTGCATCTTCTCCAACTGTCATCATGGGGTTTCCTCCTAGTCTCAGGCTTCCC